TAATTGACAGATACGCCTTAACCGGATATTGTGAAAGCGAATTTTCTGCTACCTTCCGATTAGGTTATGATTAAGTGCTTAACCGGCGATGGTGGAAACGGCCCTTAGTGTTTCCTTTCGGGTTTGAGGTGGCTTCATCCGGAATTGCTGGGTTGATTTGGCTCTATGTAATAGAGTAGGGATTAGTTGCAATTTCAGTTAGGTACCAAAATTTAAACATTACTTTATAAAACTATTTACTTCGATGTTTGTATAAGAAAACTGAACTTTTGTGCCGGAGAAATTGTATCACAGAAATCAGTTTTTCGAAGAAATGGGGAGTCTTGTATCCCAGGTACAGCATTTTCTTTGAATATTATTTACTACAAAATAAATTTCAATCAAATAATCATATAAAAGGTGATTTTTTAGGTGATATAGGAAAGTTTTTCAAAAAAAAAACATAAAATCAGAAAAAATCATGAAAACTTTATTTAAATTGTTAGTAGGGTCCATATAATTTAATGTTTGAAGATTATTTCATGCAAATCTTGACCGTGACTACGCCTCAAATGGTGAAATGAAATGTTCACCGAACTCGCCTCTCAATAAGTCTATTGTTACGCGTGCTGTGTGGCATGTGGCACCGTCTTGTTGAAACCACATGTCATGCAAGTCAAGCTCTTACATTTTCGGCGAGAAAAAGTTTAATATCATCTCATGGTAGCGCTTACCATTCACAGTTAAATATCATATCTTAAAAGAAATACGGTCCAATGATGCCACCATCCCATAAACCGCACCAAACTGTTACTTTTTCTGGATGCATTGGTAGCTCTTACAATGCTTCAGGCTGATCTTCACTCCAATATCGACAAATCTGCTTTTTATGCACCCATTAAGCCAAAAATGGGCTTCGTCGCTGTCACATTTTTTTTGTGAACTTTTTTAACATTTTGCTAATAAAATTCAATAATTTGCAAGCGTTGTCGTTTGAAAGATGATTCATGGTTAAGGGGTTACATAGGTCTTGAATTCTCAAAAAATTCATGTTTTGATAATTTTTTGTATAAAAGAACAAAATGTCAGGAATATTTTCCCCAAGTTTCAAGTCGATCGAGACGAAACTGTAGAAATTTGAGAGTTGTATAACCTACCGTCTTTGTCATGGTTTGACCGACGGCGAAACCTTAAACGCGTTTTTCTTAAAACCACTTTATCGAAATCGGTAGTCAAAATTTCTCAACGACTATTGAAGCGATCAAGTTTAAATTTTCCACACTTCTTTTAAGCATATTTTTGTAGTCCCTGAACGAAGGAATTAATTCATTTTCGATTTCAACTCATTTTACAAGCCAATATGTGGCCTAATTTTATGCAAAAAATTACGTTTTATGTAAAAAACGCTACAAAAAATTCAATTTTTAATTTTTTTAATTTTTCTTTGTTCAGGGACAAGATAAATTCACCTACTTTAGGAAAAATTTGAATTTTTGATTTCACATAAAAATTTAAAAAGTTATCATGACTACCGCGAAAGCACTTTTTTATTGACGTTCTCCTTCACGATACTGCCAACGCCTTAACTTAAACCATTTTTCATTAAAATTTTTATCGAATGTTGTCCAAATATTGTACTTTTATATGTAAACAAAATAAATTGTATACTTTATTTAGTATCTTTTAAAAAAAATTTGAAAAAAATAAGGTTTTTTTGGCCTTCAAAACCTATGTAAACCCTTAAATTATAGACCGAACTGAAGATGTTTGACAGTGTTACAAAATACGAAATGTGCTGTCAGCTGTTTAAACAGATAATTGCTAAAAAATCACCCTTTATTATGTCATAAGCTTTTAAAAGTTTTATTACTATTTACTATTCAATTATTCTCTTTTCTTTCGTTAGGTAATAAAATTTGTCTCTTTTTTGCTTTATATTATTTCCATAAATGTCAAAAATATTTAACCAAGCAAATAAGTTTTTCCTTCCCATTCAAACATGTTTGTACATACATACGTACATGTATGTCCTAGTATTTGCCTAGAGTTCTTAGAGTCCAAGTTTTTTAATGACTTAAAACGATTTTACGTTTTGGTTAGTTGAACTTTGGCAGCCAACCAAAGTGTCTGCAGTGTCAAAATGAGTTCTTTACTCTAATAATATGAAAATCTCACAATTCAACAATCGTACAAACAAACTTTTCCCTTACCTCAGCGTCACTTATTTCAACAGTTATTAAAATTTCTAAAAAATTATTGTTAACTAATAGAATATATATTTCAACTCCTGCTGTCTTCTTCATTCTGAACTAAACTTTTATAAGCAAACTTTTGTTTTGGCTTGCAACGTTTTTATGTACTCATGTCAGTCATGGCACCAGTTGTTTCTTCTTTTCGCGAATCCAAATCCTTCACTGTTTAATCTTTCCAAAGGAATCCGCTTCCACCGATACATACCGAATCAAAACCATTCAAAGCTTGATGAGTGTCGTCGACCATAAAGTTGACCTGCGAAATTCAGTTCTGCGCAGGCAGATCATCAGCCTCCGCTGCTTTGTTGTCTTAAGGACTTCATAAACTCAGTGCTTTTTAGGCATCAGTCGCTGGATAACCCACTTGTGTGCGCTCCTGGAGTGAGGGAGCGCTGAACAGGAGAACAGGAGTGTAAGTAACAAGTAACCAGCCATAATTTGAGTGCGATACCTAATTAGAAACGAAAATATTTTATCAGAAAAAATTAATATTGTTACGATTTTGCTAAATCAACCTCGATGATTTTCCGAATCCTTCGGGTACGATCTCTGGATTGTTAAATAAAAGTCGCCAACTTAGTTTGCAGTTTCTTTCGTTATAAAGATTTTATCTAATGTCCTTTATTAATTGCGTAATTCACAATTCAATTACAATACACTTTCCCAATTTACTCTACTTAAATGTAATCTCCAACGTGTTTACTTTACGACTTTACTGATGTTAACGCCAACGAGTTCACTTTATAACTAACTTACTTGGCCGGTGAGTGTCGCCCTTATATAGCAGTCGGCTGCTCGCAGACGAAAGCGTAGAAGCATCGAATTGTTCGCTATGGAAGGTTCTTGTTTTATCGTTTCTAGAACGTACTAGTAATTGGCTTCTCTCTTTCATGTGACATTCGCCTCGCATTTTCGCAACAATATGTTTACTTTTAGTTGGTATTTGGTTGCATAGCCCTTCTTCTTCAAAGCGGCCTCACGCCTATTTCGTAATGATGCTAAAAGATTTCGACAACGCGCCACTGATATTGCTTGCCTTGCCGTTCTTATTTCCTCAAAAAGATCATACATTTTTGGTATATTTTTAATACTAAAGTCTCTTTTAAGGTCACCCTAGAATATTAGAATCTGGACTGGATGCAATGCAATAAATCAGCCAAAATCGAATCAAAACTCGAAATTTATCTTTAATTTCATTCAACATATACTTCAATTTAATAATTAAAAATGATATCGAGCAGCGAAGATGCTGACACACACAACTGTTGCGAATGACGGCGAAGCGACTTTATAGGGCTCACACCCACATTGTCTTGCGTCCGAACACTACGGTTTCGACCGGGCGATTTTCTGGTTGCAACTGACCCAGATTCTTCGAATTTCTATACCAATCTCGAAACTGTTGTTGCGGGCGGGACATTGTCACCTCCAAGGCACGAGCGAAGTTTACGTGCAGTCTCTGCGTAGCACTCCCCGTTTTTATAAAGAGCTTTCAAAAGGAGATTGCGTTGCTCGATACTGAACCGCTCCATGACTACAAAACTGAAAAAACGTTAAATGGTCTTCTAATCGGAGTTATAATAGATTACGAAAATGATAGGAACAGTGCTGGCAATCTTCAAACAAAAAAAAACCGCGTGCAATTTGACAAGTGCTTTCTTTATGAAACACCCTATATTTTTTCCTATAGAGAGAACCAACATCATTATAGGAAAAACATCCCCATACCAAGATTGATACTCCACTATGCTCTACTACGTCGTCGAACATACCTAAAACCATATTTTTCGTTTCATAGTTCCAATGACATACTACCCCTGTTTTTGGGTCCAAGTGCAATGAGAATGGGTATAGTTCACACGTCGTTTTTTTGGATTGTGGTCAGAAGCGATTTCCTGTGCCGTGCAATTGTTTTCTTCGATATTTGAACAGTGAATTCATCCTGAGTTTCACGTTGAATGTCTGAGGAACTCTTATTTGGGTCTATTCCCGAGATCACTTTTATCCTGTCTATTCTTGCTGAAGTTTTCCGTAGGTTTTTTTTTGCCTACGACATTTGCAACAGTTTCAAAATTTTGGATATGCTTCAAGGCATCGAAATCCATCTTTTTAAAGCATTTGACTTGCTCCACAATTTGACTTTCCAGCTCTACGAAGGTCAAAAATAAAGTTGCGTAAAACAGTTCTACAGCTATTGCCTTTTCCCATAACGAATCCTGAGATAAATATTTTAAATTCGATGGTCAACAGCTGTATGCTCTAATCAGTCTAATAAAAAGCAACTTTGGTCGCATTGTCCTTTTCTTGTGTCGGTCGTGGTGCTAGACGTTCATTGACTATTGTGAATGACAACTTGGTATCTGAATCTCTCTCTTCACCAAACTTGTGTTGATTATGATCACTGGATTCTATGCCACATGAATCCACTCGCTCTCTTCCTAGACCCACTCAGCATAATTTTTGCACGGTGATGATGTCAGCCTATAGTCTTACGAGGACATCAACCCACTGCACAGTGATTCGCGAATAGGTAGGGTGGGTTCCACATGACGTGCTCGCGTTTCTGAGATGTGCGAAGAGGACGAAAGATAATTAGGAATAACTTGCAACTGTAATTGCATATTCCAGAGCTGGGCTACACACCATTACACCCAGAAACTGAATAAAATATTTACTATATTCCAGTTTAATTGTAAAATTAAAAATATTATTTATTATTTATATTTTCTCTCATTTTTATACTTTCTCTTCAATATTTCAACTCCCCAGTGACCTGCTAAAGAAGCTCTCCGTTAAAGCTGGTCTAATTGGCTGCTTCCGCGGCCTTGTGGTCAACGGTGAAATACTCGACATCTACAGTTATATGTCGGTACATCTTTCGGAGATTATCAAAGACTGCAAGCCGTCCTGTGTGCCGTCACCATGTAAAAATGGCGCACAATGCAAGGAATTATGGAGCACCTTCCAATGCGTTTGCAGTAATCCTTGGGCGCATATTGGTGAATTTTGCGAAACGAGTACGTATGATGGCCGATTTGCTTGCATATGTATATATTTTTATTTGGTTATATTTAAATGTTAATTTTTGCAGACATCAATGAAAAGGCGCTCACCTTCATCACACGCGAATCATTTTTAATGCGTAATTATATAAGCACACCGGCGGCCACGCCACCCTTCTTACCGGCCGCCTACTCCATATACGGTATTAATGAGGAACGTGACATGATTAAAGGCATCCTCATACAAGATATACTCATCAATTTGCGTACATATGATGCTAATGCATTGGTCTTATATGCAAACGATCATTACAACAACTTTGTGCATTTATATGTAAGCTCCGGACGTGAAATTGTCTTCCTTTATAATTATGGCGATGAAATTGTGAATCTAACTATTCTCGATGTATCGGTGAGCAGCTTGAATAGCATTCAGGTGGCCATTGAGCGGGAGGAGCACCGAACCACCATGCATGTGAACGAGCAGAGTGTGAGCGTGGAAAGGGGTATGCTGCTATTGGATGAATATAGCAATAAGCCATGGAACAATCCAGAGAAAGGTAAGGTAAAGAAATTGTAAACGGTGGCAAAATTGAATTCAAATCTTGAATTAATGTCAAGCGTGTTTGTCCGCTGCTCTCTTAGTCCCTTCATCTCATAATTGTTGTTGGCTATGAATTTAGTCCTTGCAAGAAGTAGGTTTTAATTTAAAAGATAAAACTTTCGTCAGGAAGCTAAAACCAAGGTGGCAGATTCGACTTCCCTTACAAGTTAATGTTCCAAAGTTTCGTTCTCATCTGTGCATGCTCAACACTTTGCCGAGTCTTCTTACCTACAGTTTATTATAAGCTGCCTCCGAACGGCCGATAGATTTTTACGAGTAGCTTGAATTTCATCTCAGAAAAACACTCGTTGTATATGGCATTCAATACCGAGGGGGGACCAGAATTAGAAAAATTAATTTTCTTTTATTTTGAATGTTGTTCGAACCAGGACTCGTGCCTTGGTATTCTAACTGCTGGACCATTGGCATCAGTATACCTACAAGAATATTTAGTTATCATTTGATTAGTGCTAGCAACCCTTCAATTTGTCTTCAACGCTGTCTCAGTAATTTTGTTCTACATCTCACGTTGGAGTTGCTTCAGAACCTTAAGTGTTCTTCTAGCAGCCACCGTTTTAAACAATATTTGAGGACGCTGAAGGATCTGAGCCAGTCAATGGCACCAGTGAAGTCAGCGCAAGCTGCTTTTCAATTACCTCCATTATTCGTGTAACCTGAGATCCAAGTGATACTCGTATTTATTGTACTTTCCGTGATAGTCTATTTTTGTCCTTTGACTTTGTGCTGACCCGTTTGGTTGCCTCAATTGCCACTTGGCTCACTACAAGATGTATAATAGCCTCTCCTGTCAAACTTTGGACCTTCAGTAATGCGTACAATTTCAGTTTAGAAGACAGAGTTGTAGTCATTGAGTTGGCAGCTAAGGAGAGGGGTGGAGATCCTTGCTCCCCGCCTGTCTTACATTAAGACACAAAATTGTAGAATAAAAATTTGTATACCATTACCGCTAGCTCTACCTTCACTCTAATCTTCTCTGCTCTACGCTGTAGCAATCTCTTTTGAATTACCCATTACTTCGAGAGAACTTGCCTTTTGATTAAGTTCCATTTCTTTTAGCTCTACCGTATGGATCTTTATCAATGCTTTAAGTTAAATATTTAGCAAATTTCTTAATTACATTCGCAGCCTTTTACTTCTCATGGTCACAAGTAGTTTTTAACGGTTGAATTTTTTTATATAATAAAGAAATAAATTCTCTGCAAATTTTTTTGCAATCATCTCTGTTATTTTTCAACCATCGCCACCAAAATATTTCTATACGGAAATTTTCATTTAAGCTACTATTTCCTGTCATTCTTTACAGAGGTCCTCTCGCCTCATCGACCGCCCGCACCACCCACCGAATACTTTCAATTCAATATTGGCGGCTATGATCCAGCGAATTTGCTAAGGCCCAATCTAGACGCTCCTGCACTTCAGGGATATATTGGCTGTGTGCGTGGCCTGAAAATTGGCACAAATCTAATCGACTTGGCTGACATCAACGAACGGAATATTTCACCCAGTAAGTACAACCAGTAAATGCAATTGCAGCACAAACAGGATGGTAAGTACATAGTATATAGTATATGTGCATATGTACATACGTACGAGTGTACACGCAATAGCAAAGCTAACACAAATTACACTTGGTGCTCTGGTGAGGAAATTCAATTTTAAAAAGTCACATACGATGCTAAGCGGAAGAGATTTGCACATTTGTATGAGATTTTAGCAATAGTTGGGGAAATCGTGCGAGGACACAGAATTTAGCAGGAGTAAGCTTGTGGTGGGATGGGCTCATATATTCAATTTAAAGAAGTATCTCATCGAGTCATTTCCCTTATTACGTTCACATAAAGTCGTATTCAGATAACGGTCAATTTTTGTTTTAACGAATTAAAAATTGATCATGATATTCACAATAACTGCGCTTAAAACTCTTTAAAAGTGCTATTCCTGCCACGACTGCGACTGTTAAACCCTTCTGCTATCAACTCCAATGGGATGCCCAATCCACTCTCTCTCTCTCTCTCTCTCACTCTATCTCTCTCTCTCTCACTCTATCTCTCTCTCTCTCTCACTCTATCTCTCTCTCTCTCACTCTATCTCTCTCTCTCACTCTATCTCTCTCTCTCACACTCTCTCTCTCACTCTATCTCTCTCACTCTATCTCTCTCTCTCTCTCACACTCTCTCTCTCTCTATATATATCTACCTCTCTCTCTCTATATATATCTACCTCTCTCTCTCTCTCTCTCTCTCTCTCTCTCTCTCTTTCTCTATCTATCTACCTCTCTCTCTCTCTACCTCTCTCTTTTTTTTCTCTCTCTTATTAACAGCTTAACAGCGAGGAGTGTACATTTATATTCAGAAACCCCCCACATCAACCCTTCATCTGTGCGCTGAGATTAACCCATTTAATTCATGCTTCCACATACTCATACCTCTTCGGAGCTGAAGATCTCTACAACAATAAACTAAAAATTGCTTATTTTGCCTTGAATTTTCTAACTGTTTCAAAATTATTGGAAGGATTAAGAAATAACTGACCCAACTTAATGTTATACAGATGTACTTGTAAATGTACTCAGAATTGTGTGTGGCACGCACAGCTGTACGAGTATACATATGTATGTACATATATGTATTTGACTAAGCATATTCGTATGTCCATTTTATGGTCATTACCGCCAAAGATGAATGCTAATCGGATAAGTCGAGATGCATAGGGTTGCCACAAAAGCATTGATTTCAACTATACTCTATATACATATATGCAATTTTGTACGGTTGGAATATTGGTTGTTAATCGTTATACCCAAAAGGCCAGCCCAAAGTACCAAGCCTTCACGACTGAGGAGAAATTGATTCAGTCTGATTTACGGTTAGTTTAAATTATTGGAAAACCACAACTGAAGTACGCGCCTGGCAAACAAAACTCTAATTTATATATTGGATATACACATAAGCAAGTAAGAAAGGACTAAGTTCGAGTTATTGGAGCATTGCCATAATGAATGAGATTTCATTGATTTGCAGTGCCTCTTATCGTGGAAAACCATTATGTACAAGTGAAGCATTTTATTTAAACAAGGCAGCAGGTCGCTTGAAGTTGACCACATTGAGGTCGCCTAGCCAGAACTTATTTAGGAAATTGGAAAAAAATATTCGTGACAATGCTCGACTAAAGAAGGAACAACTCGTAGAAATGGTTGGAGTATCCGTTACAATCTCAGACTCGGTCGGAGGGTATATTATTGGTCGATTCCAAATAAATATGTTCATATAACAGGAGAACACTACGCTTCAATATTAAAGCGACTAAAAGAAACAGTTACAAGCAAGCGACAACGTCCAGCCCCCAAAATCCGCGTTGCATTGGCTGCCCTGCATAATGTAGGCTTCGATATTTTGAATCAAACAAAATAGAGTCTAGATCTGGTCCCGAGTGAATATCGCCTGTTTCCAAAAATGGAAAAATAGCCGAAGGGCAAAAAGTTGATAACCGTTGATGAAGCCAAGGAGACTCTTTCGGCACATTTTGAAGATAAAGAGAAATCAATTTGTATGAGAGTATAAATAAATTAATTGAAAGATCTGACGAATGTTTCCGCCTTGAAGCGAACATAAAACGCCCTCCTAATAGCTCGTAAAATGTGCCTCTGAACAAAACCAGTTATTTGATACAAATCCATTCAAAATAGTTCTTTTTGTATCCGAATTTAATGATGTAGCACAATAAACTTTTATTAGTGTTCTTCGAATATTAAATGAGAGTACGAGTATGTGAAATAGAACACGAAATCATATAAATGTAAACAATGCAAAGACGGATATTTATTAAATTTAAAAAAAAGTTTGTCTTATTGTAATCCTTCTCGACGACGAACCCAGCGTTAGCACACCTCTTGCCCTACCAGCCGAAGGGCGCGCTTGAAAGATAATCGAAATATCCAATTGCCCAGTAACTGAAACCAGTGACTTCCTTGAATCCGAGACCGAACGGAGAAAGTCCGGTCAGACTTGCCTCTTACATCAAACAGCTACAGATTTTCTCACCAGTTGCTTTAAATTACATGGAAAAATCAGAGGGAAATTATTTAATTATTTTAAGCTGTTAGTAAGGAGGGTTTGTTACTGTAAAATGAGTCAGAGGAATCAATGCTAGCGGAACGGGTATTAATACATATAAAATGGTTATGCATTTCAAAGTTTGTTCGCCATGAATGCTATGAAAAGGGCCTCAAGTGTCTAGATGATCTTAAAGGGGTGGTAAAGTTGTGCTCGCTAAGTAGGAATGGGCTATTGATAACACCTCTTAACAATTTAGTTAAAAATAGAACTCCTTTCCCTCTACGACGCTAGAGTGAAGGCAGATTAATAAGCCGTAAACGTATTTTGTAAGGAGGCAGGTTCTTCTTCGCAACCCAGTGTAAATTTCTTAACGCAAATAGTAGGAATTGCTTTTGTAAAGATTCCAATTTATCGCTATAGACTTGATAGTGCGGACCATACAACTGAGCCGTATTCCAAATGCAAGAAAGAAATGTACTCCTGCTCAACCTCAAGTACAAAGTGTCAAGAGACATATTTTCCGTAAAATGAAAATAATTTGCTAAAGTATGATGAAAAAAAATGTATTGTATGTATATGTTTGGATCAGCATACATATTTGGGCACAAAAGCACGGGAAGCACCAGGCTGTTACTCGCTGGTCCCAATATTTTGTAAAAGGATCAAAATATGCGCAATTGACTATGTTAACATATTGCAGAAGAAAATACTTCGCTTTACTAAACAGGAAATTCTAAAACATAGATTCTAAACATGCATCGAAACTGGTACAACAGTGGTTCAAGAAGGAAGGGGTGCAAGTTATGTAGTTGACGTTTCAATATCCAAACTCTTGACTTGGCCATTTAAAACCAGCAAAGCGGATGCATTGTGAAATTAAATTAAAAAATCGTGGTATTCAATAGCGTAAAGTGCTTGTGCGACCTTAGAAAATTTGAATCGCCGACGATGGGAACAGGATACAAAACAAAAATACGGTTAAATATTGATTTATTATACATACGAGATGTATTCAAAATGTATCACGAATTTTGAATTTTTGCCGTTTACGTATTAATCGAATATCGATTTTTTTGTGGCGTTATGTTGGTACTCATGTCTGTCACTTATGCCAACAAGCTCGGCCATTTTTAATGTTCGCTTAATCATTGACAGCTGCTTTTCTTGCACGTGTTTTGGATGGTCTTCGATTTTTAATTTTTAATGAAAGTTTTGCTGACAGTTTTCTTCGAATGCAGGGACGTGGTGCATCATGAGTTCTTGTCGCAGGGTGGAACGGTCAATAAGGAATATTACCTGCAAGTTATGCGTAATTTGCGCGAAGCAAACCGCCAGGAACGCCCGGATTTGTGGAAGAACAAAAATTTGCTTTTGCACCACGATAACGCCCCTGCTCACACATCGCTGCTTCTGAGCGACTTTTTGGCCAAAAACAACACACTAATGATGCCGCAGCCACCGTATTCCCCAGATCTGGCCCCCTGTGACTTTTTCTTGTTTCCTAAACTGAAGAGGCCCATGAAAGGACAACGTTACGCTACAATTGACGAGATTAAGGTCGAAGGAGGAGTTGAACAAGATAGAAAAATGAATTTTTGACAAACCGTGGGCACAAGTGTATAATATCTCATTGGGATTACTTTGAAGGGGACAAAATATATATTCATGAATAAATAAATATTTTTTGAAAAAACACAAAATTCGCGATATTTTTTTAACACACCTCGTATATTGAAATGCAAATATTTTTTTAAGAATTTTGAAACAAAATTATATTTAAATTATAAATTATATTATATCGCAATTCAAGCAAAACTAAGGATGTAAATATTTATTTATTTAAATATAATTGGCACAAGAGAAGTCGCCTCCGAACTTCTGATGGATTTTTATAAGAAATACACTCGCAGCGCTTGACAATCCCTGCCGCTGGGCAACGTTATTAAAAAAAAAAAACAAATTATTTTCTATAATCCAATATTATTGTAGGTCGGGCCAAGACACGAATGCTAGTACGCAATGCTAACCACTCGGCTACTGCGGCCACAAATCAAAAATTTAGCCACAGTTTATTTACTCTTATCGAATGTACTTGCAAAATAAATGTTTTGTGATGAGGTATTTGATCAGGGGCACTTATTAAATGAAAATAATAACAAATATCGTATTTTGTGCTGTTCCCTCTTTAAATCACATGGTTTACAATTCATTTGGGGTTAGATCTATTCAAACTCTCCATATACCTTCATGGGGTTTGAGACTTGAATAGCTTGCATTGGATCATTTCTTGTTTCAATTTGTGGCCCATTCTTATAAAACTTGAATCCAAATCATCTTGAAATATATATAGATGTTAAGTTTTGTCCCGTCATCCATTTTGTGCCATTCCAGCAGGATCATCTTGTTTAAAGATCCTGTCGTTAGTTTCAAAAATTTAAAAAAATAAAATTCCCACAGCATTTGGTAACTACTTTCTGGATCTACAAGTTCCAATTTGAGGGAGATAGGGTACAAGTTTGACCATTGCGGTAACGACGCAAGTACTTCTTTCTTTCCCAAATCGTGCAAATAATAATTATCTGTTTTTTTGCTATTTTTCATGTTTAAGGTTCGGAGCAATATAGCCCTTTAATTTATCTTCCAAAATCTTTATTTAGATGCAAAAAGTGCAAATTTCGATCCAACCCAAATTTTAAGATTTCTGGATTTTTCCTCGGAGTAAAAGACATTGCGGTCTTGCATTTGTAGTTGTTTTCATAAGTCTCACCATGGACCTTTTAAAGGTCAACATATTTGGCTATTCGAAAGTCCTTCAATGGACAATATATCGGTTTGACCTTTTTCTCGATCAGTTAAATTTTTTCACTTTCCCATTTTATCTTGGGAATGTTTTCTACTCCGAGTGTACGAGTATTTCTGACATAAAATAAAGGCTCCCCATAAAAAAATATATACCGTTCGGAGACGGCTTAGTATAATCTATAGGTCCATTCATTTGTTGGAAAAACAAGACCCAAAATCACAAGTTGGAGGAGGAGCTCGACCGAAAATCGCTTCAACGGTAAAAATAAAAAATTATATATATATATATATACATATACATAAAACAAATAATACTAAAGTAATTTCTTACCGTTGACGCTATTCAAGTGTCAATACCTGCAGGTATTTTTACGGCTATATAATACCGTTAGCTGGATTACATATCTCAATATATATATATGTTTTCGTCAGAAATGAGCAGTACTTTTTTTACAAAAAGTGATTAATTTTTGGCTAGTATATATTTTCAAAAAAACAATGTGGAGCGACAGTGTTTTTAGTTAAATCCATCCTTGAATTTTAATGCGTCAGGAATTAGAAAATTAATTTATTTATCCCCATCAAAACAAAGTTTTGCAACGGATCTTTGACCTCTGCTTATACCTGGAGCATACTTATGAGCGCTGCCTCCTCCACGGTGGGAAAAGAAGGTATCTTTCACCCAAGAGTCGGAAAATTCAGCCTCCACGACGATGCGCCCCCAAAAGGGTTGAGACTGAACGACTTCGCCCTGTCCGAAATATGGTTGTCTATAGTACTAGATGTCAGCACAAGAAAGTTCACCAATCCTTCCATAGCAGAATAAGGAGTTGTCTCTAGGCCGCTATGTCTGAATTTGTTATTCCCGCAAAACTTACACGGCTGAGTAAACTGACACTGGGCAACACCAGAAGCGCAGTCAGACTTTTAAGCGAAGTAAGAGGACTTTACTTTCGACGAACAAAAATTAAACTCGACAAGTCCCTACTATATGTATGGTGCAGAAGCGCGGACGCTGCCAACATCAAGAGAGAGAGAGAGAGAGTTTTGCGAACGATTTATGGTGCATTAGCTACGGCGAATACCGCAAACGATGGAACGGTCAACTGTACGAATTATACGATGACATTGACATAGTACAGCAATTAAAGCAACAGCTGCTACGCTACCTAGGTCATGTCGTCCGAATGGATGAAAACACTTCAGCTTTGAAAGCATACGATGCAGTACTCGCTTGTGAAAGCAGAGGAAAGGGAAGACCCCTACTTCGTAAAAAGGATCACGTGGAGAGCGAATTGGCTTCACTTGGTATTTCCAACGCACGCCAACGAAAGCAGGTATGAATGGCGCGCTATTTTGGTTCGGCTATAATCGAAAGGAGAAAAACTTATTTAAACTAGGAGGAGTTTTTCAGCTACAGCTCATTACTCTGGGTTCCTCGAAGTTTAGTTTTAACGGTCATAAAAGCAAAAACAAAATGCAAATAAAGTTCATTATTAAATAATAAAATTAAATCATATATATCTTCGCACTAAAAAGCTTTCACCAGGTAGGTAGGGCAAATCATTAAATATCTCGATTTAAAAACAAAATAGCCTTTCATCATATTACTTAAAACAGCTCACATATATACATATATAAATAGAAATGTATTTTCATACATACTCTGTACTGCATAATTGACCTCTTCACACTTTCCCCCCCACTTTCAGCCATGGACGGTGTACTGCCAAACTGTCAAATCAAATGTGACACGGAGCCGTGCAAAAATGGCGGCATCTGTAAAGAGAATTTCGCCAAACGTGAATCAACATGCGATTGCGAACACACCAGCTTTTTGGGTGAATTTTGCATGGAGGAGAAGGGTGCCGATTTCAGTGGCGAATCAACATTATTGCGAAAATTCGAGCTCACCGGCAAAGTGGACTATGTACGATTGCAATTGGCATTCTCATCTTTCGATTTGCGGCGTGCCAATCGTGTAATGTTGTTACTGCAGCCGACTGGCGATCGTAGTTATTACCTGATGGTAGCCATTAACGCTGATGGTCATCTATTATTCGAGGAGGACCGTGAAGGGCCAGCGGTGGGTGCGCATATCGACCGAAGTTTTCTGAATAATGCACGCCACTCCATCTACTACACACGTAACGGTAGTGAGGCCACATTGTATATTGACCGTGATAGAGTGCCATTGACAAAGATACAAACGCGTGCACCGGTGCCAACGAGTGATGTGGGTGGAAATCGTGTACAAATTGGTGGCATCAATACAACGGATGCGAGATTTGCTGTGTTCAAGAGTTATAGTGGTTGTCTGTCAAGTAAGTAACAATTTTCGTATTGACACAAAAACGTTATGATAGTTATCATTCAGAAGATTATCCGCTAGTGAACAATTACAGTAAGGAAAGAATGTTGAAATTTTAAATTTTGTAGTGACGAAGATCGGTATTTAAAGACCAAGATATTTGTTTTCAATTATTAAATTAAAGTCAGGTTATGGTGTATGCATTGAGCTTTGCTAAAATTTTGACTGTTTCTGACATCACGATGGTATTCATGCAACGGAAATCGAAAGTAGCTCAAAGTTAAGTGCTTGCGATGCCACAGAATCTTTCTCTGGTGAATATTCGCTGTTAATGCTAGTAAAAACTGGTACCACAAACACTTAATTTGATGAAACCAGCGCTGCATCGTAGAAATAAATTTCACGTTTATCCAGAAATTTCAGTCGATTCAGTTCAAACGTTTACAAATGTTATCGCCAAAGCTTCAAAACTCTTTTTTTCGTTTTTACCCGAAACGAAATACTGTCGTTAATGTTAAAACATTGACAGGTAATATTAAATCGGTAACAGATAATGTTATATTGTTAGCAAATAATTTAAATTATTAACAGATAATGTTAAATTGTTAGCAAATAATTTAATAATATTAATAGATAATGTTAATTCATTAATAGATAATGCTAAATCATTAACAGATAATGTCAAATCATTAACAGATAATGTTAAATTGTTAGCAGATAATGTTAAATTATTAGCAGATAATGTTAAATCATTAATAGATAATGTTAATTCATTAATAGATGATTTTAAATCGTTAACAGAAATTATTAAATCGGTAACAGATAATGTTAAATCGTTAACAGATAATGTTAAATCATTAACAGATAATGTTAAGTCAGTAACAGATAATGCTAAATCATTAACAGATAATGTGAAATGATTAACAGATAATGTTAAATCGTTAACAGATAATGTGAAATGATTAACAGATAATGTTAAATCGTTAACAGATGATGTTGAATCATTAACATTAATGTTAAATCGTTAACAGATAATGTCAAATGATAAACAGATAATGTTAAATCATTAACAGAAATTGTTAAATCGGGAACAGATAATGTTAAATCGTTAAAATTGGATGTGTTGTCGAAATCATGCAAACAGTCATTTTAAAATTAACGTTAATTAAGAGTTTGTGCGGATTCAACATTAACGAGCTCATTCCGTTTCGATAACTCTGCCCCGAAACCATTAAAAAAATACCCTTTATTAATTTCACTTTTAAAATCAAGAAAACCAAATTGCATCGTCTCGCTAGTTCAGCATCTCTGGTCCAAACGTAATAAAATATGTTCCCACGTCTATATGGAAAGCCCTAGTAGTTTAGATAAGAGTAACATATAAAGGGTGATATTTTATGAACTACAGGAAAGTTAAAAAAAAAAACATACAATATTCAGGAAAAAGCATGAAATCTGGTCCATCCGCTTAGACCAATTTTGGCATACTCTTTCCAACATTTCGGCCGGTGTCTCCCGAAAAATTCTTCAATATTGTCCTCCAATGCGTCAATTGAAGTGGGCTTGTCTGTATAGACATTAGATTTAACATAGCTTAAAAAAAATAGTCTAAAGGCTTTAAATCGCACGATCTAGGCGGCCAATTGACCGGTCTCGAAAGTGAAATAAAATGTTCTCCGAACTCGCCTCTCAATAAGTCTATTGTTACGCGTGTTGTGTGGCATGTGGCACCGTCTTGTTGAAACCACATGCCATGCAAGTCAAGCTCTTTCATTTTAGGCAAAAAAAAAAAGTTTGATATCATCTCACAGTAGCGCTCACCATTCACAGTCACGTTAGGATTCGCATCATCTTTGAAGTAGTACGGTCCAATGATGCCACTAGCCCATTAACCGCACCAAACCGTGACTTTTTCTGTGACTGTGACTTTTTTGGTAGCTCTTGCAATGCTTCTGCCTGATCTTCACTGCAAAATCGACACAATTCTGCATATTTACGCACCCATTAAGCCAAAAATGAGATTCGCCGCTAAAAAAACTTTTTTCTTTCAAACTTTTTTAACAGAGGAAGCGTTTTTATAAAAAAAATTCAATAATTTGCAAACGTTGTTTGTTTGTATGACGATTCATGGTTAAATTACAGATCAAACTAAAGATTTTTTAAAGTGATACAAAATACGAAATGTGCGTCACCTATTTAAACCAGTGTTGCCAAACAGATAATAGCTAAAAAAATCACCCTTTACATACATATGTGGATATTTAATTCCTTAAAAAACATATATATTTTACCGAGCACCCAAACAATATTTATTTTGATGAAGCATAAAAAGGAAAACAAAGCAAAGGCACACATAATTACTCGTATCCACATGCTTTGTTGATGCTGTCAAGGGACTGAATATAAATTTCTCTACAATGTGCTATTAATTCTTGCTGCTTCGCTAAGCACCTGAAAAGGGTTCAGTCATGAGTTCAAGCTGTTGCACTGTTCTTTCGGTTTACGCGCAATATACACAGAGCCGTTAAGCTTTGGTCACCTTTCACTGCATTTTTCCTTATAATATTGAAGTACTGTAAGTGTGCTGTCCCTACTTGACACTCTTTCACGCAGACCCAAAAAGAAAAAAATATTCACTTTAACACACTTGCGAGTAGAAGATTTAAAAAAATACTTTGCTTCGTTTTTTATTCTTCAGGTCGCTCTCCACCTGATCCTTCCAACGGTGCGGAAGTCTTCCCCTGCCTCTGCTTTCACCGGCGGGAACTGCATCCTTGCAAAGCTGGCGCGCTTCCAGTCATACGAAGCTTCCTATGAATATAAAGTATTTTCAGGAAACCGGAATTTCAATCTCTACATCCATTTTTATTATGGATTTATGGCTCTCTTTGTGATGAAAAAATCAATAAGCCGTATTTTGCCTTTTTAAGCTACAAAATTGTTTAGTTGACAAAGGCCAAAAAAAAAGCTTATTTTCTCTAATGTTTTTAAATATACTAAATAAAGTATATAATTTATTTTGTTTACATATAAAGGTTCAATATGTGGACAACATTTGATGTAAATTTGAATGAAAAATAGTTTAAGTTAAGGCGTTGGCGGTGTCGTGAAGTAGACCGTCCACAGGAAAATGCTTTCGCGGTAGTCATGATAACTTTTTTAATTTTTATCTGAAACCAAAAATCCAAATTTTTTCTCAAAGTAAGTCAATTTTCCTTCTCCCTGAACGAAAAAAAATTAAAAAAATTGAAAATTTTTGTAGCGTTTTTTATGAAAAATGTAATTTTTTGCAAAAAATTAGGCCACATAAAGGCATGTAAAATGAGTTAAAATCAAAGATGAAATAAATCCTTCGTTCTCAGACTACAAAAACATGCTTAAAGGAAGTGTAGAAAATTTGAACTTGATCGCTTCAATAGTCGTTACGAAATTTTTACTACCGATTTCGCTAAAATGGTTTTAAGAAAAACGCGTTTAAAGTTTCGCCATCGGTCATACCATGACAAAGACGGCGGGTTATAAAAATCTCTAATTTCTACAGTTTCGTCTCGATCGACTTGAAACTTGGGGAAAATATTCCTGACACTTTGTACATTTATACAAAAAAATTAAAAAAAAAGAATTTTTTGAAGTTTCAAGACCTATATAAACCCTTAAGTTGATGCGGCGTACTTATGAAAATAAGCCCATTGCAATACCGCTGCGAGGCTGCTGTCTTCACCTTCTCAAATGTTCGAACCATTTCGCCTTATAAAAGCAACGAGATTGTCAAGTTTAGCTGAAGCTAGCTTGTAGACAAAGGTAAGCTTGCATGGTGTGGAGGGCTCCTTCTCTCGCTAATTCGCCACTCATGCAACTGCCTGGGTTGTCCCTGTGTCCGGGTACCCAAATCACGACAATGTTGCATTTAGTCGAGAGTTTGTTCAGACTGCTTTTACATTGTATAGCCACCTTTGATGTGAAACTGCTAGATTGTAGAGATCTTATATCAGCTTAACTGTCGGAATATATCGTAACTGATAGCTTTGCTACCGTAGATTTGAGCAGTTACTCGGCGGTTTCCGGGACTGCAAAAAGTTTTGATTGGAAGGCGCTGAAGTGGTCTAGAAGTCTTATGTTCATATTGATTGAGAGTACCGGAGATTGGATTTCATAAAGCACTTTTTCATCGAGCTTTGAACCGTCTGTGAAGCGGTCTATGGATCCCTCATCGAAGACGTTTGTGTTTTCCCATTAATTTCTGTTTCGTTCTCCTAGAAGAAAGCACATATTGAAGTTGGTGTAGTCCAGCTCCTTCGGTACTTCTGCAAGGGATAATAGTATCCCTTTTACCAGGATGGCAGCCTATCATTGAATGAAACTGTTAGAATTCGATTTCAAAAAACTCTCACTACTTTTTTCTCTACCTGTCCGTGGAGTTTTCTCACAGGAATATGGTTTTGATGAAACCTTATTCTTTCTACAAAACTGATAAATGATATTTTCTGTTTATTGATTTATAACATTTCTCCCACGTCGGAACAAGAACTGTGTATTTATCACTTCTCTTTTTTGTTCTATGAATTCAGAGTTGAACACATATTTATCATTTGAGTATTGTAATAGAAGGATAATAATGGAAATTCTAAGAAAGTTTTCTTTTTGTGTCCATCCTTTCGAACTCACTTTCCAACACTTACTTCTTTACCCCTCAGATTAGTTTCTTCAACATGAAATACGTTTATTACCCAGTTTTTTTACTTCTATAAAAAATGCCACCAAGAGCCAAAGGTGTTAAGAGGAATTAGGTAAAAAAAAAATGACTAAAACCAAAGTGTTACTGTAAATAAATAGCAACTGTCCCGCCATTGAATTTATTGGAGGTTGCCTGCACCGGATTGCTTAAACTGTGCTTGGGCAGTGAGTTGTCGAAATGAAAAGTAAAACGCTTAAACTCCGTTATATAATTCTCTTGAAAATCTTTACCTACCAAATGAGGTCGTAAATTTTATTGGTGGAGACTCACACAATTAAGTAAAATATATTTTCGCTTTAAATTCGATTTTAGTATCGATAAGGAGATCATGTGTAGACATTCTTTCTCTGCGTGCCATTTCGCAGGGAAAGAAAGAATGTACACTTCTTCTTCTCTGGATGGTATATCGTCGGGTTGTTGACGGGCCTGAGCGCTAGTAGAGAAGCAAAAAAAAATCCAAAATACTACGTTCTTCTTCGTTGAGTTGAGTTGATGCGGTTGTTGATCAGAGCGACCAACGCATTTTGACCTCAGACGTACGAACCATTTCGTGTGCTTTGTAATGCTGCCTATACATCGTATATACTAATTGATTATCTTGTAACTAGAGATCCCAGCATCCATTCTGAGGTTGCCGTTCTTGCAATAAGTTCTGTTTGTTGAAAGACGCTGCAATAGTCCGGTGGCCTAAAATTTAAATTGGTTAACAGCGTTGGTGAGTGAACTCCACAACCTATTCTTTCATCGAATTTAGAGCCATCCATATAGATGTATATGTCACTCTAAACCGAAGTTTTTGCCTTTTCATTCTTGTCCAAGATTCTTGATTAGAAGAGATTTTCAAAACAGTTAGTGAAGATAACATAGTCCACTTCCATTGGAAACTGCACGAAAGACAATATCCGGTCGGCCTTCTAACGCGATACCTCCATGGCTGAAATTTGGCGTTTACCGTGCAAATCTAAGAGAAGAAAATTCAGAAGAGCTCCCAGAGCTTTTGACAGAGTCGGCGATAGAGCTCCAGTTATGAGAATGGCTGACGACCGCTGAAATCTTTCCAGTTTACTTGTGAAAGTGCTGCCCATCAGTCAGTCATCCCGTGTAATAGTATGGTTCTGACTACCGCTGTATTGGTCGTTTTGCATGCGTAAAGTCCAGTGATATCTTTCCTCCAACTTTACACCGTATTTCGGCTCCAGCTGAACTTGCTATCTAAGATTATCCCGAAATATTAGCTTGAGTGGTTAAAAAAGAAGTAGTTTATTTCTCTCTATCAGCACCAGCTTCCTACTATGTTTAGGGCATTTTGGAGTATATCACTTAAGATTTGTGGGTTCTTGCCTGTCGCTGTTAGAGCTTTCTCATCGGCGCATGTTCCCTCGTCACAACCTGTGCTATTTAGCTTATGCGACAGTGTTCACTGTGAGGCTCTATAGGAGTGGAGATAAAACTCCCCCTTGAGGGATACTTCTTCCGTTATATATGTTTATACCGGTATCTCAGCTAAAATGATCCAACTTGTTCGTTCTTTCATTCTTCAATTTAGCTAATCTGAAATCGAATGCATCATCTCCTTTATCTAACGAACGGCCGTAAGATATTGCTATGGGCATTGCTGTCCCGGCCTGCTTAACCCCGCTGAGAAGCAGGTGGAGTTAGTTCATGTAGTCGAGTCGGTTTATGAGGAGAGGGCTGCTGGTTTAGTGAACCCACTAATGCGAAAAGGTGGTTAGTCTTGTGCAAAGATATTTTGAGAGAGCGACTTACGTTAAGTACGTCGGGAGTGGAGTCTTGTTGGATACGAGTTGAATCTGCGGCAGTATCTAAATCTTAATTGTGTTACCGCTTACTGCGGCTAAGCCCTTGATATTCTAACTCTCAGTGACAATTCTGGAAGATTTGTAACTTCTTCATCAGCATCTCGCTAGTCCCGGAGGCCAACGGAGGCGGCACAATTTATGAGCGTCGGGCCGGTTGCCGTGTAAGTTATGTACAATATTTCTCAAAGCTCAGTACGAAGATCCCCACTTAGCCAAAGATGAGTGGAACGTGGCCAGAAGCAGAAGAGAGCGATAATTTTATTATTCTGTGATAACTTCTTTTTCGTGTTGAGAATGCCATTGCCGGCTTTATTAATTTTTTTAGCTTTGAATTTTCGGTCCGTACTTCGGTCTTTATTTCATACATATTTACATTCATATTATTCTGTATATTTGTACTTATTAAGGTGTGTAATTTTCGAATTTGCCAACAGATATTTACATTCAAGTGAATAATTACGTGATGAAACCTTTGGAGGAATATATGCTCTTCACCAAGTCAGGTGCGGACAACATAACTGTTATTCACCCACAGGGCCTACGCAGCGCACAATGCACTGCTAAATTTGATATATCGGAGCAACCATCACAGGAGCCAATGGTGAACGTGAGTTCGGTAAGTAATATTCCAGAAAATGTTGTTGCAATACATACATAATCACACGGCATAGACACCGACACTTCGTGAATAGCATAAACAAATTGTGTTTCGTTTGTGATTGCTTAGAAGACCATTCTCATATTTATTGGTGCAAGATATTCGCACTTACCACTGCACGGACATTCTTATTTACATTGCGTATTGATGTATAGTATGAATTCTTCTTTACAGAGCGTTGAGACTTGGGTTGAAGACCCACCACAGCGCGTACTCTATGTAGCCAAGTTCGGCTATGACGTATCCGAGAAAGAGGACTCCACACAAGTTGTATTCATAACACTCACTTCGCTCTTTATCATCATAATCATTTGCTGCCTAATCGAGGTATACCGCAGTCATCGGGCGTACAAGAAACGCATCGAACGTCAAACTGACGAGGACATCATTTGGTCCAAAGAACAAGCAACGAAAATGCATGAATCGCCGGCGGTAGCAGGCACCCAATCATATGCCTACAAAGTGGTAAGTTTGTAATGAATGAATTGAAAAAAAAAATGAAATAACTGTGTAGGCAATTGACACAAATTAAATTCGCCTTTATTTCATTTTACTGCAGTTGCCACAAGATGAAAAGAAACCGGGAAATGGTGCACCACTGGTGAGTATTTTGAAAAATGGCAATGCTGCTTCGGCCACATCACTTGCAGGTGGTGCTGCAGTGTCGGCCAAGGAGAATGGAAGTGTGAAGAAAAATGGTGAAATACCAGTTGGTCACATTGATACGCGAATCGATGAAGAGGATGAAGATGACGATGATGATGATGACAATGCCACAAAGGCGGAAGTTGACAAAAGCTTAGACGAAGCTTTGAATGCTGAGCAGCACGATGGGCAGGTTGAACAGAAAGAGATTAATGCGGATACGCAAAAAACTACTGAGGGAAAAGATGATAAAGAACAAACAATAAGCGCACATGAACAAAAGAAAGAAAGCACTGGCGATGCTAAGCAGACTTCTAATGACAAACCAAGCGAAAGCGTTGGAGGCAACGAAGAGAAAAAAACGAACGACGAAGGCGCTGGAAAGGAAAAATCTGAAACAACGACATCGTCAACGCCAACTCCAACGCCGACAGAGAAAGATAAAGGTATATATGATACTTAAATTTGTGTTTTATAACATTTTAGGCGATTTTCGGCCGTGGAGGTGCCTCCAATTTAATCTAAGCCACCTCAGAAGGGCCTATAGAGCTTTCGCTTCTTATCAGAAATACACTCGGAGGGGTTTCATGTTGAGGTGCGATCGCTTAGAGACTTTTTTTTATATTTTTCCCTAACTTTGGATTATGGTCTGCTGGGCGATCGAGCCTAGAAGCCGTTCGGAGATGGCGGAGCTTTTATTTCGTGTCAGAAATATATTCTGAGACTTATAGACTTTCTTATTATTTATTTATAATTTTGGATTCAGGGCTGGTTGGGGATCGAATCCATAGCACTCCGCATCGCAAAATGCGCTGCTAGCTAATTATTATTATTATTATGAATTTGTAGAATTTTAGAATTCAATAAAAATGAAATCAAAATAATATATTTTTTCTATTTTTCTTCCATTCATTAACTAAGAACCGGACCAAGCGTTACATACGAGTACCGAACCTCCAGCAGCAACACCACAAAAACCAGAAAAGGAGACACAAACTCCCGCACAAATAGATGGAGACTTGATCGATGGACAACAGCAGCAACAGATACCGCCTGCAACCACGAATGGTTCGACAACAAATGGTCATGGCACGGTAAGCAAGCGATATAATTATGAGGATGATGGTCCACGAGTACCGTTAATTGGTTTGGCTTCATTATGTTCCATCAGCGAAATCGATTTATTGCTTGAATCATAATAATTCAATTAAGCTATCAATTACATACAAACACATGTACATATACACATACATACATACACGCATACATATCTAAGTGTTGCCTGCATTTTTATAGAAATACATACATTCGTACATTCGTACATACGCTTGTTTATTTGTTTATATGCTTAAGCATTGCTGGTTGTACATAATTATTTTATTTTAATTTTATCAATACCGTTATATTATAAGCACATTTGTGACTAAGTAAATAAAAAGCCAAGTAAGAAAAACTACATACATATTTATACTTGTTTACAGAGTTATCGTTTACAGAGGCTTTACATACATATATATGCATGTGTGCTCATATTCGACTATTACGCATTTTGGGCTTTCTACAAATTATTTCTTTATTGCATGGTTTTATACATACATATACGCGTACATCATTTTTTGTGTTATATGTGCATACAAACATACAAATTATATGTATGTGAATACATTTATTGATCAATATTAGTCGCTTTATTAATTTAAAACAATTTACTTTAAGCCTTGTATTTCTTCTTTATATTATATAAGTGGTTACATCCAGTTAAGAGCTCCAAAAAGAATTTTGCACGAGGAAACTTTTACCTTTATTTTGTTTTCATTTATTATTTTGAACATTTTTACACATATTATGGCGCCTTTGAAGAATAGTTCGCAACTTGTTATTTAAAAAAATAATAATTTTTGAAGCTGCTGCAGCAGATCTCCGGGGATACCTCCCAAAAAGCCAAATAATTTTTTTTTACAAAATGGTGGCTTCTAAAAAAATCAATTTTCTCCATAATTTTGGTCTTGAATTGCACATTAAAAAAAATTTTTTTAACGGTAATGTACTGAAAATATTGTTCAGAAACCCGTGTAAAAATTTGAGACTAATAAGTTCAGTCGTTCCAGAGAAAACTTGGTCGCCAACTTCGAAAAACGAAGTTAAAGTTTCAAACGCGTTTTGAACAGAGTTAAATTTTCTTTCAACTCACATCGAGTCTTCTATTCCGGGGCCATATAAAATATATCTGCGGCTTCGGCAGCTTCCAAAACATAGATTTGGTGTTGTCTACGAACCATTCTACCCTCTCGCATGCTCTCTTGCGCTCTGCGTTCAGAGATTTTTACGCGCCATTTTTTCGGCATATGAATGTACATTGAGTCGTTACAGACATACGTGTAACTTCCAAAATAACAGTCGGATCGAAAAGGAATTTTCAATTTTTTTTACTTGAATGCATATAAATTACGAAAACGAAATAAAAAAAAAACATTTTTTGAAAATTCTAACTAGATGTAACCTCACATATAATGTATATACTCGTATCTATATAGCCACGTATATGTAACAATGCAATAACAAAGTCGTTAATTTTGGCAGGTAAGTTCAACTGTAAATAAATAAAAAGCATAAAAGTCAGTACCACAAGTTATGAAAAATTAATTAAAATAAAAAATTAAATTAAATTTTGTCATTGCGATCAGCCCTCAGCAGGGAATGACAAGCCCTCGGAGTGTTTTTCGGACATGAAATTAGGAATCCTCGGAGGTTGCTTAGTATAAACTGTAGGTGCCTCCATATGTTGGAAAAACATCAAGACGCAAAACAATAAATTGGAGGAGGAGCTCGGCCGGAAAATCGCTTCAGCGGTTACAAAGCGATAATTATATATATATATATATATATATATATAATATGTAGTTTATGCTGGTTGGTTGACAAGTTTCTGTAGCCGAAATGAAAAAATACTGTTACGAAATATATTTTTTTTATTCAATATATTCTCAATTTTTCTTCAATACACTTATTCCAATGGTTCTCCAATATTTTTATGCCATCCCTATAATGGCCTTCCTGAAGCTGTGCAAAATGCCCGTCTACGGCTGTAATAGTTTCTTCATTCGAAGAAAAACGCTTTTTACGAAGGAATTGTTTCAGATTGTAGTAGCCGCTGGGGGCCAAATCTGAATACTGTGGATGCTAAAAATATTCGTACTTCAATTCGTTGAATTTTGTTATTGTTAAAAAGCTTATGTGAGCATTTGCTTTGTCTTGATGAAAAATAATTTTTTGTACTGCAAACCAGTTTTTTCTCACGAATTTTTTCATCTAGCTGTACTAAGAGGATGCAATAATATTCAGAGTTGATTGTTTTTCCACTCTGCAGATAATAAATCAACAAAATTCCTTTTGCATCCCAAAATAACTGATGTCACAACCTTCTTTGCTGATCGTTGTAACTTCACTTGCTTTGGAGCTGAACAACCAACTTCAGTCCACTAAAACCGTTCTTGCTCCAATTTAGGGTCATGTTGGTACATCCAAGTCCCATTCATAGTTGTAAAACGACGCAAGAAATCGGTTTTATTCTGCTTTAAATGCTCCAGATTATGCTGACAGATTTGTATTCGACCCAGTTTTTTTTGAATTGTTAATTAACTTTTCAAACAGTATGGTATTATTAGTCAAACTTCGACCTTCACTAACAATATGATGAGCTTGTTCAATGATTTCTGGTGTGGTTACGGTTTTTGGTCGCCATTCGCGTGGATTGTCTTCAAACCTAGTACGACCAAGTTTAAGTTCACCAGCCTTAAATTCAGCAGTGCGGTTTGAATGTGAGGACTTCTTATACACATCTAAAAAATTTTCATAATTTTTTCGAGCACTAACTTGAACAATTCGAGTTTTCTCGAGCATTTCAAAAAAAAAAATTTGCTTTCTTCCCAGAACTCCTTTATATAATTTAAGTTTTATTTTTGCAAAGAATGAAACTCATTGCTCACTGCTCACAGTGCTGGCGTGACGTATATCTGAAGCGCTGGTATAAATCCATCGACTTCGTAATAAACACCGACGATGGCATTCATTATCGGGTAGAATTCCTGAACACACTAAAGCCTCTCAGTCTTCCAGCCCACATATTGAACTATGACTTGGGCGGTAATTATGTTGCTGCGTACTATAAATCCACCAAAATTGTGCAACGGCACAAGATTGCAGGTGAAAGTATTGCCTCGAACTGTTATCGGGGCTAATACATATACAAATATGTTGTTTTCAAGGAGAAAGTGTATTGATTCCCAATATTCCCCTCGTATAAATAATTTCCCCAACGAATTCGAGAGTGTTCAGTTTTCCATCAAAGTATGCTTAGTAATATTCAAAAATAAGGTCCAAGGTCAAACTCTTAAGGTAATAGGAATAGACCTGAGAGAAACCTGCTTATCCCATAGTTGTATGTGGCATGCCCCAGAGTAAGCTCATTGAGTGGCTTATTGGCAAATCCATATGCATTTATACACTCTGGAGGAAACATTTCTCCAATATGCTGAATGATATTGAAAGCGAAACTCTAACAGATAGCGAACCTAAATCCCCAATCGATAACAATCGAACTGGTGTTCCATTACCGTCTGGACTGGCGGAGAAGAACTGACAAAGTGCATGTGCAAAGTGCAAAAAAAATTGTGTCGGAAAATTTTGGTCGAACGAACCCACGATTGGAAGCTCAGTATCGTACTCTGGTACTCCAGTCACTTTAATAAAATGAGATCTCACAATCTGTACGAATTAACGTAGGACTCCTCAATTTCGCTTATTAAGTGTTATCGAGAGTGACGAGTGAAGAGTTTTAGTGAGAAGTTTTTGTGGAAGAGTTATGATCAGCGACGAACTCCGTAGTCTATAAAACAATGAGCTGTAATAAGTTCAACTTATAAATAAACATCGCTGTCTTGGTCATATTGCCTGAATGGATGAGGAAATTGCAGTTATGAAAGTTTATCGCCGGTGTAACCAGAGAAAAATAGAGAGGAGGTTATTTAATATTTTTCGTTGTATTTTATTTAGAGTGAAAACTAACTTAAATTAAAGAAATTGGACCTTATTATGAATGCATGCGATCTTCTTTAACTGCCAAAAACTAAGGATCGTATAAAAAAATTACGCTTTTTGTGTTATGCAAATATTCCAAAATTTAGTGGTGAGTACAAAAGGATTAATATGTACCCCGATGGCAAAAATTTTATATTTCCAAAAGACATGTTTTCTAAAGTTCTGGCATCAACAATTTATTGTAATAGCCAGTTTAAAAGTATGTCGAATCCGAACTCCATCGAAGGTATCCATTTTCCCTTTGATAGAGGGAACAATTGCGTCACCTACATTTTTTCTTTTGGCACCTACGCTGGGTTTTAATTCGCCTAAATATTTAACTCGTTCTGACATCATTGCAATCAATAGCTCTGTTCGGTGAAAAATGTCAGTAAGAATTGGCCAGTAACGAGTTGAGAGAGCAAGATGTTTTATACTCCAAAAAAGAGAGAAATTCACTGAGTATTCACCGAACAGGGCTCAGTAATATTTAGCCGGCAAGCTGTTTGTTTGCATCCGTTCATTTATGCAATTTATTGTTTACTGGTTTTGAATACTTTCATAAGTGTTTTAATAAAATTTGGTAATTTTATGGCATTTTTAATTTACTATAATCAAAAATAATTACAATGCCACAATGTTCTATGTCTATATGTTCCATAGCTTGCTTTGCAATAATTTGTCGCATAGAGTTTCAGGAACGACGAGTGAAATGCGAAAATGAGTTTGATAATATTTTTCCGTACTTTTTCCGGTAAGCTGAATATTTGGATTCATTTTAAATGAAATTTAACAAGAGCTTGTGTATTTCATTTAAATGCAGCTCACATTTCATTTAGAGCATCTTCATCGCTTATGGAAGCTTAAGAATGTATTATCGTGTTGTGTTAGTAGCAACAACCTTTATTCACAATGGTTTGCAGCTAAATTAATGGAATTCAAACTCAGCTTGCAGAGCACAAAAAATGTGAAAATTTTCAATTATTTGGTTTCAACATTCCTAACTTCCAATTCCTCAATTTACATTGGATGTGTGGTGTGCGGGCCATGATTCCACTCTGCTGCCACCTTATTGCCCTTTAAGGAATATAATTGATATATTTAATTCAGTTATATTTAATGAATATTATATTGGCTTACTTATTTGTTGTTACATCATTTATATTAACTTATTACTATTATTTTAATTTCAAATAATTTTTGTAACTTTGCCACAAGGTTGCACCATACAACTTCATTGCAACTTCCTCTACAAACCAAAGATGCCTTCAGACGTGGCAATTTTTACGCAATTTTTTTTCCTTCACGCATTTTGCTGTCAAAAAATTTTGATATGAGCGAGTAACTACTCTGCAATTAGTTTCTACAATTTAACTAAACAATTTCACTGTGTTATGGCACTCAAGATCTGCAACTTATTTTAGAAATTGCAATTCCTTTCAAGAGATTTGGGCATTGTAAAAAAAGAATTTTGATAAATTTTTGTGAAATAAGCTAATTACTAAAAATTTTAATTCAATTTCGTTAAAATTTTGTACGCTACAGGTGGAAATTAAATTTCGAAATTTGTCTTTTTGACGACACCTTAACGTCACCTTTCCCCAAAAAATGTGTTTTTTTCCATACAAATTTTATTAATTCAAAAAAAATAATTATAAATCAAAGGTTTTGTAGACAAGTGGATGTATAAAATTACCAATTGAAAATTTTTTATTTTTTTTAATGGCGGCTCTTAAAATTGTTGTTGAAACACATACCTTTTGTTGGTGAGTGACACGATAACTTGAAAACGAATCATCTGAGAGCAAAAACCAAAACAGTTTCTTATTCTAAATCACATTTGCTATAGCCGGAACTACAATTAAACATTTAAAAAAATGGCTTTTTTTTAATTTCTTTTGCCTCTTATTAAATTTTAATTGTTTATAAATTTTTTTAATAAAAATTAAAAATTTTTGGTTGAAGCACCGACCATAGAGCGATATTTTAGGAGTAAAATGCTGTTTAGTTCATTTTGATAAGTTCAATAGGTTCTAAATAAAATTGTCATCCAGTTAAAAAAGCGTAGTTTCGAGAAAGAGCCGATTGATGTATTCATTCGTGAGGATTTACCGTTTGCGCGCTCCGCTCTACCCTCTTCTATATTTACTTCTTGGGCTTACGAACCTTCGGGACTAATTTTTTTAGAGGAACCTGGCCTTAAACGCCAAAATTATGGTTGAATAAAATTTAATAACAACTGTTACTGCCCATCAGGTCACCGAACCGAACTACTTCTAACATTTCTTTTAAATTATTTTTCTATTGAAAGAAGTATTATTATAAAATACATAAAATTATGTAAAAAAGTAAAATCGTGCACAAAAAATGTAATCAGGGGATGTTGAAAATATCGCATTTATAAAAATTTTATTTAAAAAGAGAAACAAAAGTACATACATACATTTATTTTCTCGTCCTTCGGAGCATCAAATGGCTAATCATGTTTATTTTTCTTGGAATTATTGTAATTTTAGCATTGTAGTTAAAAGTGGAAATATTTAAACCAAAACATGGTCGCATTTTGTACAGCTTTCTTCTAAAATTTTATGCCCTCAATGGTTTTCCATTATCATTAGAAAAAGTGAATGCAATGTAATTCACTATAATTTATCTGCTAACCATTTTGGTTGTTACGTTTTTCTCTGTATTTCAGTGCAAATATCCAATCTTTCTATTGTATTTGCTTTTTTCATTTTTTTGTTTTTGTTGTTGCAATCTTTTGTTCAAATTTCGCACAAGACCTTGCTTCGTTCAAATATAAATTCGGTGCATTTACAAATGTATTTTTATTCAATGGAAGTATTTGAATTTTTTTTTAATTTTAAACATTCAGTCGATAGTAGTGTGAGAGATACCATGATTTTCGAGATATAATTTTGTGAAAATTATTTTCTAAATCCACATACTCATTGCGTATGTGTGTTCTTATCTACATACGAGGGGATTAACAAAAGTTCGGTAAGTTGACGAGAAAAAAATTCCTTTTATATTTATTCGTATTCTTTCTTCTTTTTTATCTTCTCTACATAATCGCCATTGATTTCAATGCATTTTTTAAGCCTATCGATATACTTATGAAAACAGTCTTCAAAATATTGCTTTTTAAGCTTATCAAGTTCAGCATTAACCGCATTAATTATCCCCTCGTTGCTATTAAAGATCTTTCTCTCTAATTTTTGCAAATAACCAGGAATCACAAGTTGCTATATCAGAAGAATATGGCGCTAGACTCATTTCGTGGATCCCAGAGATCGGAATAAAATTACGCGTTATTTCAGCAGTGTGGGATGGCGCGTTGTCATGATGTAAAAATCAGCGTCGCAAGTCCTCTTTCTTCCTGTTTTCCAATAAATTTTTTCAAAAACTTTTGGTACGCACTCTTCATTGTACCTTTTGCGGTTATCGGCTGACCACTTTCCAGTGTAATACAATAGTAGCTGCTACATTTTAGATTGGGTGCTACTTAGATTTTACGAGGGGGTTTGCTCCTATTGGGCTCCAGACCATGGACTGTTGTTTGGTTCTTATAGAACTAAGAGTCGTCACTAGTAACGTCCTTACCGAAGTTGCTAGACTAATCATTTTCGAATTTGTTAGGAATCAGGAATCTTTTTGGGAATAATTAAAATTCGTAGTTTGATGAAAACAAATTGGATGGAATGGCAAATTTCTTCGTGTATACCAGATGATTACTTAATATTCGCGAGTCAGCCATAGCATTCAAATCCAATGATTAACAATCATTACTTGTGTCAATCGACAATCGAGGCTCTTCGTCAATTTTGGACTTCGCCAGAGCTACAGTGACGTCAAGAGTGGAAGATTTTGGGCGACCTTCTCATGGCTAGTGCTCTACGGAAAAATGTTCGGTCTAGAATATTCGAAACCACATGGAAATAATCTTTAGAGATGGTGCAACCTTTCCATATGCAATTTAGCATTCACTGAATATTTGTATTGACTGTAAATTACATCGAAACCCGAGGAGAATCACATGGCGAATTTCTGTTTGCATTGGTGGCAGAATTTCGTCTGGCCTCTCCTCAGCTATCTTGCGTTTTCTCGTCTCTTTTTTAGCCGATCGTTCTAAAAGTTGAAAGGAAGACTACTGAAATAATTGCATAGAATTTGTTTTTTTAGGTTTAACAAACACAAATTGAAAGTCACCAACTGATCAAACTTTTGTCAATCCCCATATTTTTCTAAATAAGTATCCCTTTCATTTTGGGTAATAAAAAAAAATTGAAACTAATGACTTCATTGCTAATGAGTGTTAATTTCATTTTGTTTACAAAAACGAACGAAAAAAGGTTCAACAAAGTTTGCATGCTCGCAATTAGCTCGCTTTTCGAACTTTCATTTGCGGGTTACTGCATTTAATTTTATTTTGAATGAATCATGAGATTGGTTTTGGCAAAACTAAAAGACACACATTGCTCGTGTAATATATACATACATATGTATGTATGTATTTAACTACTACAAACACAAACTATATTTTTGTCAGATAAAAATCTGAGTATGGTTTTCTATGAGCTCGTGTAACTATATTTTACTTTTGGAAATAACAAGTTTTAACTTTTAAATTATTAGAATCATGTGTGAGTTAAAAGGAGAGTTTGAGGAGATGTCCTTATCCATTGAGTAGGCTTCGCTGCTTATTCCAATTAAGGTTTTGCAAACGTTGAGTTTCTTACAGTCTTGAGCACCCATCTCCATGACGAGCACTGTGGAAAGTTTATGTCTGCAATGGCTAAAGTTTTGGCTCTCACAATGGCTGTGCTCCAACGTTTCGTTCTCCTCTGTGCCGATTCTGTATTATGTAACTTGTGGAGATGTTATCTTAGGGGTAGAAGCACTGCCAGTGCACCTTCAAATATAGTAAGCTCTGCGATTCACGCTGCCACATAGTAATTTATTGGTAGGATGAATCGATCCAGTACATTAATTGTTCCTCTTACCATTTTAAACAACATTTGAAGGCACTGAAAGGTCTGAGGCAGTGGGTGTTAACACCCACGCCAGTGCCGTCTATGCGATCTGGCGCATCCGTCCTTTCATTAACTTCCACCGAAGAGTTCTCCATTGTTCTCTTAACAGTGATAACGCACTCGTATCAAATCTATTTCGTAAAGAGTTAAACTCTTCTGTGCTCCTTCAAGTTAATACTGTTTTTTTTTTTTCATTCCTCTCTCGCGAAACTATATTACCAACTGCTGCTTGCTCGTCTTTTTAATTTTATTAACTTTTTTTACCAATACCGAATTTTCTTAAAATAAAAATAACAACAATAATAATAAGAATATTAAATATTTCCCCAGCATTGCATGCTAACTCAAATATGCCCAATAATATTGCCAGTTAAATCTAAGGATATCAAGAATTTTCGTGCACATTCGTGATATATTTACACCGATTTATTCATATATATTTTGCATGATTTAAATATTGTACACTGAACGAAATTGCCTTGCGATATTTGTAAATTTGCAAAAAAAAAAACACAGCTACACAAAACTACGATTTTATCATGCAATATATTTATGTAACTTGACAGCATAGGAATTCTCAACAACACCAACACCAACAACAACAGCAATCACTTCTGCCCAATACAACACCTACGCATGCAGAACGTAAGCCGTCTGTTAAGCGGCAAGTATCCTGGGGACCACCTACCGTTGCCGAAGCGGATACCGAAACGCTCAAGCTCACCATAACACCACCTGCCTCTTACAAACCGAATGGATGCTATGGCAACAACAATATAAGCAATAATAAAATCAATACAAATTATGCATCAATGACATGAAATTGGAATGTTAACGAGGATTTCGGAAACAGAAAAATAAACCAAAATAAACGCAATAATAAACAAATGCAAAACTACAATATAAAATATTTCATTAAAAGTACATACATCTCCATACAATCTCAGAAAGGGAGAAAAGAAATCATAGCAGTTATAGGGATATCTATGTATTAAGTAAAGGTTCGGAATGTTTGGAATACACGTGTATATGCATATGTAGGTAAATTTATTTGAAATACTCATAGCTTAAGAAAGCTTTTTTCAACTTGGTATTTTATATTGTAGTACTTTGTAACTAGTTAGATTACGTTTTACATTTATTCAACGCACAATAATGGAGGTGTTTTGCCTTTTCAAAAAACTACCAAACCCGAAAACATCTATATTTTTATCTCTAAATATATATAATAGGCTCAGTATCTTCTTAAACATACATACATACATATGTATATCTCGAATCATTTTGTCATTCATCATTATTTTGTTTGAATTTTCTAATTTATACAGTGTGGATTTGTAAATAATTAAACGTTTGTGATATTTGATTTTAATAAAAGGAAATTTAAAGTCAATAAACATTTTGTATTATTTTTAATATTTTTATTAAATCAATTCCAATTTCTTAGATTTAAGTTTGTGAACACCTTGCATTACTTCATATATACATATAT